ATATATGGATACTTTAAAGGATTATTACCCCCGTCCCTATTTACAGCTAGATTTAATTACACTAACATACCCTCTCTTGACAAAAATCATAACGTTTATTGCTTATAAACGAAATAGTTCCCAATAAAAGCGCGGGGATTTGCTATTAAAATATGGTGGGGGAAAATGGTGGCCATTTAGCCGAGCGCTAGGCTGATTTATTATTTATTGTTCTGTCCCACGGTCACGTGTTTGGGGCGCCCTATCCAGTCTTGGGCAAGGTTCAACTTACTGGACGCATTGAGTTTCTAGCTGGCGCACGACAGCAGCAGCTTATCATGCAATGAAACGTTTTTTTCAAAACGCCGCAGGACTGTAGAGTGCCGTTTTCTGACTTTGCGTCTTTGCAATGTCGACTTTGGGGACCAGTTATTACATTGACTCGCGCATTCTTCCCGAGCAGGAAGATATGGCACCGAGGTATTCCTCGTCAGCCGCAGGGGTGGAGCAGGCGGTGGTCACCGAATATGGCGGACAGGAGTCTTGCCCATTGCAGGCGAAATCTTCTATTTTTGGTGGCTCTTGGAGTGCCATCTCGGCCCACACTCCAAACACGGCCGCTCCGACATATATACATCATCCTTACGCGAGTGGGGACAGCGATGGCATGTTTACGCGCTCTTGGGCGCTGGATCCGGTCTCTGCGTCCCTGTGTTTGACGGGATTACCATCGACAGGCATGCACTATGAGATAAAACCGGAACCCCTGATTGGGACTGCGGAATGCACGACTTTGGAGACGCACACGCATCTTTTGTCTGACACTGAAAACGGTGCGTCTCTTGTGGAGATTCCCTGCGAAACTGCGTCTAAAGCCGCTGTAGAGAATCCGTCAGTAGAGGGGAAAAGGGAGGTGGATCCAAGTAAGCAATGCAGTTTTGGATTTTTATTATTGTCACTCGATGTAAACATTTAGATAGCATAAGAAAAAGGGTTTAATTTTTCGGGAATGTGGAGGAATTGTTTTGAATGCCATTGGCTTTTATCGTCTTGAAAACGCGTATGACGCTATCATAATAGTGCATTGTTTCAAAGGTACGGAGACATAGCGGTCTCCTAGCTGATTAACATCATATCCAAAATAAATAAATAAATAAAATAATAAATAAGGTGACTATGACCCTAATATTCACGTCAGATTCTGCGCATTTTTCCAAATTTGGCAGAAATGTTGCCAGAGAAAAACCTCAAAATTGCCTCTCTGCAGACAAAAAGAATGTCTCTAAAGAAAAAGGTCATACTGTGCGTAAAATGAATAAGCAGGACTTGTTTTATTTTTGTTTTGTTTTGTTAATTTTACACTTATCTCGATAGCGTTAACTCTCTTGTCTCATGGTTTCCAGATAACCCGTCATCCAACTGGCTTCACGCAAAGCCCACCAGAAAAAAACGTTGCCCGTATACAAAGCATCAAATCCTCGAACTGGAAAAGGAGTTTCTGTTTAACATGTACCTTCCCCGGGATCGTAGATACGAGATTGCGAGACTGTTGAATTTGACCGAGAGACAGGTAAAAATCTGGTTTCAGAACCGCAGGATGAAGATGAAGAAAGAAAACAAAGACCGGCGAAGAGACAGTTAACTGTTTTCATTTTTTCTTTGTTTTTTCTTGGACAGACCTGGGATTAGAGCCTGGTTGGGAGGGGAGGGGTGAGGGGTTGAAAGGGAAAACTGGTGTCTGTCCTTAATGTTCCTGTAACACATGTTGTTGTAAAGTTAGTGCTGTTGAAACAATGCTGGGTGTTTTTTTTTCTTATAATATCGAGAGGAACAAGTGTTTTATGAGAACTTAGATGTGTTGTACTGCCGCACACAGATAGCTACCTTAGGCCATTTGTTATTTGCATGGATCTGTTGACTACCTGAATGTCTTTCAGCTACCTATTTGCATTATTTAAGTTATTGTTTTGGTAACTTGATATTGTTTTTTTAATAGTAAGATTTTGATGCATTTGTGAACATACTGCGCACACGGAAAATACCTCATCGTTCTTGATTTAACCTAAAATAAAGTGTAGTTTGTGTAGCATTTAAGAAAAGTAGTAATGTGATGTCATTTTTGTATTTAATTTCTCCCAACAATAATACACAAATGTAAATCAACATTTAAATTCCTAAATGGTGCTAGAGGATTTTGTTTTTAAATGCTCCTTTGTTTCGATCGTGAAATGTTTTCAAATCCTTTTTTATCTTTTCTTTTTTCTTTTTTGAAGTTAAAGCTTTTGCTTCTGTTATATACAAATTAAATGAAGTGGGGGAATATTTTATTACAGGAAGAAAACGATAAAAATAGACTTTTACTACAAGTTCTGGGCTGTAACCATCGAGCTTTATGGCGCAAACAACCCAAATGAACCACCGAAACTTCCCAAGCTAAGGTTTGCCAAGTTAGCCATTCTCTCTCTCTCGCTCTCTCTCTCTCTAACTCATAAAAGTCTTCTGTCAAAGCCTGCTGGTATAAATTTGTATTTTAATAATTATCTATGTATTGCAATGAAAAAAGCTACTCTTAAGGACGAGCGAGAAATCTTTAAAATATGGTCAGCATTTGATAATAGTCCTTCTCTGCTTATTAAACTGAATATTTATTACAAAGCTGTAAAACGGTCACAATTAC